TACGAGGTTACTTTGGGGACTGACTGCAAGCTGGCCTGCTCTAAACCCCTGGGTTCCTTCTCAGTAGTTCTGGTGGTGGTTTTTAGAAAAATATTTTATTATTTTTATTTTATGTGTATGAGTGTATTGCCTGAATGTATGTGAGCGCACCCGTGTCGTGCAATGCCACAGAGGTCAGAAGAGGGCTTCGGATTCCCCTGGAACTGGAGTTATGGACAGTTGTTAGAAGCCACGTGGGTGCTGGGAATCGAACCTGGGTCCTCTGCAAGAGCAGTCAGTCCTCTCAGCCACTGAGCATCTCTCCAGCCCCCGTGGTGGTGTTCTTAACAACCATTTCCCTGACAGCGCCCTGAGAACCAGAACATGGATTTTCTGCACTTTTGTCTCCTAAGGGAGCATCCTAAGATGCTCCACTCTTTCCTGTGTGGTCTTGTTGCCCACGGAGCCTGCATCCTCCTCATCTTTACCTTCAGGCATTTTTTTTTTTTTCTGTAGAAAACTTTCTACCCAACTTAGAATTTTGCCTAAGGGAGAACAGTTGGCCTTGACATCTTCAATGTCTTTAGATGACACTCATTTCACCCTTCTAGCACCCACGGGGTCCCTTCTGGGCCTCTCCTTTCTGATGGCAGAAGGCACCAGAATGCAGGGGTAGGCTGGGAAAGGATGCTAACTGGGGATACAGTCTTGGAGGTGCTTGCTGACCAAATGCCACACTGGTGGGGGCAGGAACTGATGAGAACAACTTTCATCCACTTTGCTTTTTGCAGAGGCGAGAGTCTCGTAAATGGAATTATGATTAACAAAGTCACATGACTGATAAAGTCAGGGGTAGAAATTAGACTATGCCTGAAATATCAGAACTTTTTCCTCAGAAGGGGACTACCAATGGCAAGACAGAGAAGCCTGTGTGCTCAATTATGGATGAAAACAGCCAGGCATTCGGATTCCCACACGTAATCTCCAACGACCCCAAAATCTCTGTAAGGAGGATGTCATTACTGCTTTTCTACAGATGAAGCAAAATCATGTTAAAAGATGAATCTGTTGCTGCTACAAGTAGCAAGACAGTCTGGAATCCGACAGGTACTCAACCAGTAGGCACACATTTGTCAAGTTTAAAAAAATTAAAAAAGAGCTGTAATCCCACACAGAGGGCTGGCAAGAAGAGGCCAGCCTGGGCTACATGCAATCTTCCTGCCTTGGTCCCCCAAGTACTGAGATTCCAGGTGTGGGTACCACCTCACCCGGCTAAAACAGTTCATAATTTCAAAGCGAGGAAAAGAAGCAGGGAGCCTGCACTCTCCAGAGGAGAGCCAACACAGGAGGGGACTCCCAGGACACTGGCCCACACAGCAAGGAGGCTGAGGAGGCCTAAGATCTGCCACCCAGAAGTCACAGACCCAGGACAGTGAATAGCAAAGCCAGTCTGAGCCTGGAGGCTGAGAAACAGGACCCAGCGCCCTGTGTTCACGCCCTGTGTTCACGGGCGACAGTTGACAGGGTTTCTGTTCCAGTCCCAAGTTCGGGGGAGGGGAGGACTGATGCCCCATCCCGGACAGCTGGGCTGAGCAAACTCTCCCTCGTAGTCTCTTGTTCTATTCAGGCCTCTCGGTGACTGGACAAGAACCACAGACTAGGGAGAGCACCCTGCTACTACCCATGAAGCCCAACATCAGCTCATCCAGAAACTCTCGCAGAGAGAGAGAGAAATGTTAATCACATATCTAGAAACCCCATGGCCCAGTCAAACTGACACATAAAATTATAACCATCAAATTAGAAATGACCTCCCTTACAGATCTTGGCCCCAAGTCCCATGCAGTCAAGGGGATTCTAGGAAGTGTTCCAGTTCTTACAGTGACAATTATTGCTGGCTTCGGGCCTGGACAACTGTACGTCCACAGCACACTATCACTGTTAAAATCTCAGGGGCTTTATTACAGGATCTGGCGTTGAGAGGGGCAAGTTATACTATGTTAGATCGTGAAACTGTAACACAAGGAAACCAGACCAGCGAGTCCAAAGGGAACTCAAGAGAGAGATGGCTGGTGAGGACGCCCAGCCCCAACCTATCAGAAGAGATGAAAGCTTAAGTATCCTGCAGAACGGACAGCGTGATGTCCTAGGACGATGCGCATCACCACTGCTATTACGATGCCTTTTCAAATATCTGAATAAACTTTAAAATATTTTATTATTTTTATTTTATGTGTATGAGTGTATTGCCTGCATGTGGGTGGGTGCAGTGTGGAGGTCAGAAAAGGGCGTCGGATCCCCTGGAACATGAGTTACAGAAAGTTGTTAGCTGCTGTGTGGGTGCTTAAAATTGAACCCAGGTCCTCTGCAAAGGCAGCCAGTGCTCTTAACCGCTGAGCTGTCTTTCCAGACACATATCTGAATAAATTTATATATATATGAAACTATTTGACTATCTTTTTTCTCAGGGAAAGGAAATAAGGTAAATTTCAGGGACTCAGGGACTTTCACCATCTGAACTCTGTATTTAAAATAAGAGAAAATGTGTAGAGATGGGGGGGAGGGTGGAGGAGTGGAAAGGAAGGAGGAGTGGGAAGGAAGGAAGGAGGGAGAGGGAGGAGGAGGGGGAAGGAAGGGGGAGGGGGAGGGACGGGGAGTGAAAGGGAAGGGTGGGGAAGAGGGAAAGGGAGGGAGGGAAAACACGAGAAAGCGGAGGAGGATGAAATGAGAATTCCAGTTTTCTCTGTCCCTCTCCCCAAGCTCTCCTGTCTCCAGGATCGCTCTACATGTCAGTGGTCACACTCTGCTCTCCAGTGTCTGCAGTCTGTCCACAGTGCCCTGCGCCCATGGTGACAGTCGGGCTCACAGCTCCCCACCTCCACCCCAGCTGCGTGGGAGGAAAGCCCTGAGTACTGGTCTAGGCCCCAAGTGTTCTGGAACACAGAGCCAGAGCAGTGGAATCCAGATCCATGAAGCCAAGGAAGAAGTTGATACTTGCCTTGAGCCCCATTTCTGTCTGCCCCACATGTGGGTCCCACTGTGCAGGGTACTCATGTGCTAATGCACCCCTGGAGCAAGCTGCTCCCCAAGGAAGCAGAATATGGCTTTGTTTGTGGGCTCCATCTACTCACCCAGGAGGAGATGCACAAGACCCTCCCAAGAGACAGGGTGAGCAGAGAGGGTAAGAGTCCATTAGCCGGGTGGCCTGGGTGAACTCAGGCTCTCAAGGCTATGATGGGGAAGCTGGGTGCTTGCTTAACTGAGCCTGCCTTGGTTCCGCCTCAGGAAAATGGGTCAAACACAGGTAACAGACTCTCCAGAGTAACACAGAACATACATAAAGAGCTTAGCACAAGACCCAGTATGTCATGGCTGGTCCCCAGTCACTAATGGAGTTGGGGACAGGCTGCATCTGCTGGGCAACAGAAAATGTGTCTCCTGCCCCAGGCTCAGCCTGTGTCTTACACCATGCCATCAAGAATCTAGATCACTCAGTGGTTAAGAGCACTGGTTGCTCTAGCAGAGGACTGTTGGTAATTCCAGTTCCAGGGGAATCCAGTGCCTTCTTCTGACCTGTGCAGGCATTGCACTTACACACATGCAGGCACTGCACTTACACAAATAAAATAAAAATAATAAATATATATATTTTAAAAGAATCCTATTTATCAGAACCTAGAACTGGAAGCCAGCAGAACAGTGAAAACCAAGGTGTGACTCATGGCAAACCTTAATTGTAATCTCACTAGGTGGAAACAGGCAAATACTTGGGAAAAATCTCACAGAACTGCTGACTCCAGCGAGTGGCGTTCAGCCCACCAGGGTGCGTACACAGAATACTCTGGGATCATGGGAATATCGATCCTGCCCCTTTCCGCTTTCTGACTATAACTTGGTTCCTTTGTTGCCATGGTAACCAACAGGCCCAGAACACACACTTCTCAGAAGCAACTGAGCTTGATGCCATTAGGATTTGGAATCTCAAGGATTTCTAACATCCTCACTTATGTATCCAGAACTGGAGGCATTTGTCTCCTGCAGGCAGCCCTTGGAACGGGGCACGACAGAGTCACGTGTATGTGCGTGTACGTGTGCATGTGAGTGAGTGTGTGGGGGTGGTATCTACCTTACAGGGGTATCATGGAAAAAGTTGAATAAACATGCTATTAGATAGTGGGAGGTTGGGTGTTTAAATGACTATAATCTTTCTAGAATTTAGCAATTTAGTATCAATTATTAGAAGGCTTTGATGTATCTGTGACCTCTGTCCACTGACCCCATGTGTCACTTAATCATACACACTGTTAATAATCTAATGCCATCAATCATCTCAGCTAGTGATTTCTGTTGGTTAATTTTTTGTCTTTTGAGACAGGATTATCCTGTAGTCCCAGATGCCCTAGAATTTGCTATGTAGACCAGACTGGCCTTGATCTCAAGAGATATGCCCGCCTCTGCCTCTCCAGTGCCAGGATTACAGGGGTGCACCAGCTCGCCTGATTTTAGTTTATGATTATTAATAGGTAACAACTAAACCTGGTAAGCACCAGAGCTCTATAAAACAGCTGTATGTTCTCATTACAAAACCTAATGATCAGGTTTGTGTTGATGTGAGAGCCACATGGACGTGTATCTACATGGATAACATATGCATGTATGTGTAGATATAAAGAGAAACCAAAGCTCCTTAAGGACATCCACCAAGCCGGGTGATGGGTCGCTGGCATGTTGAGCTTCATCTTTACTCGTCCGTATAATTTTCAAATTTTATCTTTTCCCTTTCGTGACACACGGTTCTTCCATCTGTAACAAGACCAAGGAGAGGCACAGGAAGAGATGCCCAGGGGCCTCCATCACAGTGATGATTCTTTTGCTGCACTTCCTGGGAAACAGGCTGAACTCGTATGGGGCCGGGGGGAGGGGTCTAACAGAAGGGAGGGGCTCAACTCTCTCTTCTCAGTATCATTTAGGACTTTTTTCCTTCTGAAGTGTCCTGAGTCGAGGGAGGCTCACGATTGGAGATGAACAGCGTGGCTGCCTCGCCGTCCAGCAGTGACTACAGTGCACAGAGGACTCTGTGCCTGAGTCCAAGTCCAACCACAGCCTCTCAGTGGCTATTACCCCTCTGAGGACCACATCTTCTACGAGGACGCTGTCTCCTGTGAAGAGGCAGCCTCCATGGACCCCTCAGTTTGCTTCCTCCCTCCGATGCAAGGCACCTAGGGGACGGAGAATTTAAGGAGGCTCTTCGGGAGATGAGATCAGCTGCTTCTCTATCCTGAGCAGTTTTGCAAACTAAGCATCTCTCTGGCCTGGGATGTTGACCATGGAGACCTGGGATGCTGACCATGCAGACTCACTCACTGACCTGGATCTCAATGGCCACAGCCAGTGGATGGACAAGTGGCCAGGAGACAAGACAAAACTGACCCTCTGCAGACTAGACAGTCTAGTGCAGAAACTGGAGACGTTCCTAGAAAACAAGGAAGATGACCGACACATCACCCAGGTGCTCCCTGGATCCACTCGGGAGAAGGACTCCCGGCTGAGCAACAGCTCCCCTCCACATGGCTCAGGGCGGTCATGAGGAGCACAGCACTTGTCAGGTCTTACCCAAGTGCAAAGCGCCACAAAATGAAGACGACATTGAGGTCCTGGAGGATCAGCCAAAACAACATGAAGGTGACCTTGTGGTGAGCATGGGGATGCCCCACAGGAGAATGGACAGCCTGCAGAGCGACTTAACTGCCTGCCATGAAGCAGGGCTGGGCCCCAGGACACTAAGGCCGGGAGGGGAGAAAGGGCAGGAAGACACCACGGAGCGACGAGGGAAAGGGGAGGCTGTTTTTAGTATTCGTGGGTTGGAGGGTCTAGTTGGGCTACTCTGGGTGAATGGACTTGAGTTCTATAAAGGAGTGGACAGTGAGCCCCGTGCTGTTGGCACCATGTGTGTCTAACCTGCTCTGTTTTCTCAGCCAGTAGGCACCTAAGAGGCAGAGGAGGAGCCCCACATGGGCTGCAGTCTCCGAGGCACAGCAGGGGAGGACGCTTCCCACACCTTCACATCCTGTCTGAACTGCCAGTGGCTCTTCCACTGGCTGAGAAAGCATGTCTTCTCCAGGTGGAGGAGAGGGCACCCTAGCCAGGCCACCATCAGCTGGTACCAGAGGCCAGCAAGGAAGATACGCACTCTTAGAGGCAACAGGGTCCGACCCCAAGAATGACTCAGGAATCAGTTTGCCTCGCATCCCCAGATTTTTTAACTTTTAAAGACCTTGATCAACAGTCCCTAAGTGGTGTGTGTTTCCATCCCCTCCACCTTACACACGATCCCTGAGTGATGCATGTTTCTGTCCCCTCCACCTTACACACAATCCCTAAGTGGTGTGCGTGTCCATCCCCTCCACCTTACACACGATCCCTGAGTGATGCATGTTTCCATCCCCTCCACCTTACACACAATCCCTAAGTGGTGTGCATGTCCATCCCCTCCACCTTACACACGATCCCTGAGTGGTGTGCGTGTCCATCCCCTCCACCTTACAGTTGAGGAAAGCCAGACTTGGAGTGGTCAGATAGCATTTCTAACCCTCACATTCCTTCTACACGTACCACCAACCATTCCCAGCAGCAGAACACGCTGGGACAACCAGAGCACCAGAACCAGTCTGGCATCCTGGCATCCTGGCATCCTGGCACACGAGCGCTGCTGTTTGAATGCTGGAACTACGACATTGAGGACTCCATACCGCTGGATACCTGCTGGCACAACCCAAACCATCCTGCCAGGGAGGGAGGCGGATGGGATATACGGCTGCCTTCTGGAAATCAGGGTTTAAGTTAACAATAAAATGAGCTAAAATAAAACAGATAAGATGGGGCAAAATACAGGAGGACGAGGGGGGAAAGAAAGACTCCACCCACTGAGAAAGCGAGACACCACCTAGAGCCTCCTGAGGGTGAACTCAGCTTCTAGGTGACAGGTGACGCGTGTTTCAGCCTGAGTCCAGGTGGTGTGCTGGCCGAAGACACAGTTAACAGGAACATTTGTGTACTGAGAAAAGGAAGCTACCATCTTCACCAAGTCCATGCCTTATCTATACTCAACAGGGAACACACTTCTTCCATAAGATTTCCGGTTCACTCTTACTCCTTTGAACACTGAGGCTAAGCAGCATGCTACATACCAGCAACAAGACCATGGACTCAAAGACAGCAAACATCCAGTATTCCCTTACTCATTTAGTGTCAAACATGTCCTGAAACTACTTACCACAGGTCAAACTGCAAGCAGGTTCTCTGTGCTACATATACGGGACAGGGTGGGAAGAGGCCACAGCAATGTCAAACAGAGGAAGACAAGGGACGAGCTCTTTGAAAAAAACCGGCATGCTGGAACCTCAAGCTTCTCATCAAATTACTGTAACAGCCAGGGACACACGCTAATCTCTTTAACAAATAAATTTTGGGATCTATTATCTCATTATTAAAACCTAAAAAAAAAAAAATTCCTTAAGTGAGCATCTCAACCTTGAAGTTTATTTATTAAGGCTCAGTTGCTTGAATTAACTAGGTATAACATGTATTCACATTCTAGCACTCTTTTCCTTCCTTTAACATTTTATTATTTTTATTTTATGTGTATGAGTGTATGGCCTGCATGTGTGTAAGTGCACCCGTGTCACAGAATGCCCGAGGAGGTCAGAAGAGTGCTGGGATTCCCTGGAACAAGAGATAGAGACAGTTGTTAGCCGCCTTGTGGGTACTGGGAATCGAACCCAGGTCCTCTGCAAGAGCGGCCAGTCCTCTTAACTGCTGAGCCATCTCTGCAGCCCCATCTAGAATTCTTCATAACGTAAACAAGAATACAGCGTAAAAATGTACCACGCAAACTCAGAAGGCATCCCACCCTGAAAACCAAGTGGGCCATGCTAATTTCTTTGTCAGAAGGATCCCCACTAAAAGGGGGGGTATGATTAAACCATATCAGCAAAACAAGGGCAATGTACTGTGTTCTGGATGTGAATAACACAGTACATTTTAAACGCCCCGGAGCAGGCATAGGTTCAAAGCTTCCTCCCTGGGCACAAGCAAAATCTCGAAAATCATCTTATGAAATAATGTAAAGAAAAGTAAAGCCAATTCTAGATGAATTCCTGGGGAACACTGAGGATCTAAGTTCAGTATCAGAGAACAGTGAAGGTAGGGGGTGATCAATTGTTTGGAAAATGCCTCGCTTCCTTACGAACTGCGAGTAAAGAACTTCCACATCACACGGGGAGTCTGGATGTCATCTAGGATGACAGGTGGGTTTCATGTTGCTCAGTCTTCCTGGGACCCCCAAGTCCCGAGCCAACGGAACAATGCCCGGCGTTCAGAGGAAACAGAATCCTCATCAGATAACAGTCCTGAATGAGCCAATCAGCGGCAGAGTGGGGGCAGAGGCCTCAGGAAAAATTCCCTACAAGATTAGTTAAGCCTAGATCAAGAAGTCCCCTGCTCAACTATTTCTGTTTTATCCCACTTTTCAAACAAACTCTGTGGATTTTATGCCCATTTCAATACAATGTGCTTGGTAAGGACCTGCTTCCAAGACGTTGGGATCTTTTCAGACTGTGGCTTAAGAAAACTAATCTCATTACCACCACATTCTCTCTATTCAGAAGGAAATCAAAATGGCAATTTTTACCTACATTTTCCTTGCTTACATCAAAAAAGACTTATCTTAAGTTAAAAAAATGAAACAAACAAACAAAAAAAAACCCTCCCTTCCCATAAAATCTCCCAGTAAGCAACAGTTATATGAACCTAGGCAGCAGAGGAGTCTACCAGACAATGCTCTGGGACCAATGAGCCACGTTAGCATCAAAACACAAAAGGAAATTGTTTAAACAATCAGGGCACAGGGAGACAAGACGGGTCATGACAGAGGCAAGAAAGAGACAGGGTAACCAGCTGCCACTCCTGATTTTCAGCCAAATCCTTGATCAAATCCACAAAGCAAAACAAATCAGAACTAAGGTTAGGGTGTCTTTGTAACACTTGGGAAAAATCTAAGTATCAGCGAGCATGGTGGCACATGACTTTAATCCCAGCACTTGGGAGGCAGAGGCAGGCGGATCTTTGTGAGTTCGAGGCCATCCTGGTCTACATAGTGAGTTCCAGGACAGCTGGGGCTACAGGGAGACCCTGTCTCAAAAAGACAAAAAAAAAAAAAAAATTCCAAGTATGAACAGTACATAAGATGGTCAAGTAGTTATCAATAGATAATGTGGTTATTTATGATTATAATATCTATGGCTACGCAGAATACTTTAATTCTTAGGAAGCATAGGTTAAAATATTTAAAGATGATGTATGATGGTGCATGGCTTTCAAATGAGCCCAGAAAAATACACAAAGTAAGACCAAAACCAGAAAGTGAAGACCAGGAAACTATAAAAACCACAATCCACCTCTAGGAAGTAGGGACTCCAGATCTTCATTATTTAAGTATATTTTCATCATACTACCTTGGCAACAGTATCATAGTCATATACACATTTAAAATAACTAGTATTTAAACTATTTTTAAAAATTAACAATTCATCTGTGTGCCTAGGGCTATGAACCAAGCAGTTCTCTGCTGGTTTGTTCTGTCTTGGACTTGCTTGTGTTTCTTGGCTCCTAGGAATTTCCAGTCTCATGGCTTAGGGAATACTCAGCTCCAAACTGTAAAACCCAAACTGATCTACTTGAGGGTAGAACGGCATCACAGCATCCCTGAAACAAACAAGCTCTTGGTTCACTTAGGTTTTGTTGAGATTAGAAGGATAACTTTTCACCCAACAGAAGCAAGCTCCCTACCCTATCAGAGACCTCCACTTTAAGAACTTGACTACCTTGGGAAGTACTCACTATATGTTCATCTGTTTCTCAGGAGGCAGACACAGCCTGACGGGGGATACTAAGAGTTCCTGCAGACTGTTTCGACGTTTCTTTTCTTTGGGGCAGCACTATGTAGCTAAGTTTCTTCCACAAACACAGGCCAAATCCCCAGACTGAATACAGTCCGAACCACAGATGGGCAGGAGTCTTACTTTCCAATCCCAGGTGAAAAACTTGTAAAATTTCCTGGCTTCAATCCCAGGTCCATCTCTTGCTGTGGACTCAGGAAATAACTTCTCTGAGCTCTTCATTTCTTCATCTAGAAACTGTAACACTAAATAGCAGCAATCTTTACAATAATGAGTACTTAGCATAAGTACCTGCCACAATGTTGACAGAGTTTAGCAGTTGCTAGGTGCTCTCACATAATCATCCTTCCTCTAAAAACTTTAGCAGTTGCTAGGTGCTGTCACATAAGCCTCTTTCCTCTAAAAACTCTGCCACAGCTCTGGGTGGCCGGAGGGTCCAAGCAAAGTGACGCTGCGTCCCTCTGCAGTCGGACCTGTGGACACCCGGAGCACACCCGGTGCACACCCCGCGCACATCCTGTGCACACTTGGCTGTTCTAATTTCATCACACCTGCCCCTCACCTGCCCGGGCGGCAGCACCTGCTCCCTTAGGACCTTGGCTCATGCTGGTCCCTCTCTTGAAGTTCCTGACCATGCCGTTTCCTCTCTGTCTCTTACCCGCTCCCCCAGTGCACCCCTTCAAGGTTCAGGTAAAGTCAAGTGCTGCAGAACAGAGCAGGGGAAGCCTCGTCTCACCGTCACCCCGTCACCCCGTCTCCAGAACACCTGATGTCCGCTGTGGTAGATGTGCATTTCCTCTTACTTGTAGAAGTCAGAACAGAAACGCACGTCCACGTCCTTCCCCTCCTCTGGACAGGCTCGATGCCCTGCTTATCTTAGCATGCTCCAAAGCCCCTGACCCAATTTCTCACACACAGAGGCTCCATGATAACCTCTGGTGAAATGAATGGTTAATCTGCAGGAAATGATTTAGGCAGATAAGATCTGGAATGGAATGTCATTTCCTTTCACAACATTCGATTGTATCTGTGCCTGGACCACATGAACTGTAGAGATGGATGGGGGTGGGGGCTTCCCTGGCCAACAATTGGGATTTCTTTACTCACACGTCAGTGTTTGTGAATTTGTTCAGTGCCAATATTAACAATTGCAAACCACCACTCTGGGGGAGCTTTCGTGGCCACTCATGGAGTGTGTGTGTGTGTCTGTCTGTCTGTCTGTCTGTCTGTGTCTCTGTGTCTGTGTGTGTCTGTCTGTGTGTGTCTGT